AATCATCTTGGTGACCGGGTGTTTCGGATACCCACTACTTGCGAAAACAGTTATTGGGCAACGGAGTTCCTCTTCAAATGTATAGCTGCTTCAAACTTTCCTTGCCCCAGCTGCTAGATAGCGTGCAAAAACCTCTCTCTGAATGGCACAAAGCTGAGAAAGTGGATGTGTTGGTTTTATAAGTCGTCTTCCTAGGAACCGATCGGTGTACCGAGCTATTCAATCTACAACTCATACAAACGTCTGTAATCGCCGGGCTTTTTATTTTCTTCATTCTTAGAGTAGATTTTGTATTCGCGTGAGCGGTATCGACGTTGCTGAAAAGATTGGATGAGCTAACAAACGATCATGGGATCATTGCAATTACCATATCCAGTTTCAAGGCGAAATTGCCCCATAAATAATCTATGATGTGAACTTTTCCCTCTGGAAAATAATTTTACGTTTAACTACTGATAGATAGATACATTATGATGGATTGATATGATTACAAATGGATGAGGACAGGTTTGTGTGTTAGATAATCTTTCGTTGACTCTTTGGAGGATAACGCTCAACCTAATGTGTCCAAGAACGAATCAAAACCACTTTGCGTCAGCCACTTAACTTCATTCAGACCTGTGGGTAAGTTTTCTGTCTATCCCGACAGTATGTTCACAATCTAAAATTTATACATATTGTCAAAGTGCTGCTAAAAGTATCCTCTCTAGGATCATAGTTCTACTGTCCTAATAGCAAGCGACTCAATTCGGCGGTGGAAATTGAAAATCTCCCAATTGTTTGTGTAAGATGTCGAGACAAAAGTGAAAGGCTACAGTGAGATAAAATTAACCTCGCACCGATTTATATAAAGCACCTAAACAGTTTATTCGTGAGGATATCAGTTTCATTTGTCCAGTTTTCAACTGGGATATTGAAAGACGGTGACCGAAATTCGAAATAATAATAGAAAATTGCAAATTCAACGGTTATTTGAATTGGAATGCGTTGAACTTAAATTTATTTGCCGCGGACAGACAGACGAAACCTGAACCCATACGAAAGTTTTAAATGGCAGATAAAAACCCTCGCTATTGACAACTGGTTGCTACAAATTAATCAAACCTTTGAAATATCGTTCGACCTCTTCAAAAGATCGCTGTTCTGTTGATTACCAATTCTATCCACGTTGCGCATGGGGTGTTTTTTTGAAGGTCGACAATATATATATATTTATATATATGTACATAACACCGGCTTGTAGACAAGCATGGTGACAACGCCATAACAATAATAACAATAATCAACTAATTGAGAACTATCGAAAGAGTACTGTTCGCAGCTGAATGCTGAATACTGCAGATATTCACAGTTGGTACTCTGTCAAAAATTAACTTGTTTTTCACATAAAAGATTTCCTAATTTAACCCCTCCCAAATATACTAATGATAAAATACCTTGAACTGAATTAGGAATTTTTATCTCTCCACAAAGCTCGCCGTTTTCGAGCATAACACACGTGTATCTCAGCAACTAAAGTAATATAATTTTTACCACACTGTAATTCTTTGTTATAGTTTACCAAAAATTTTCCTGACTAGGTTTGAATCCTTTCACTTTAGTTTTTATGCGAAATTAAACAAACGGATTGTACTGCACGTATACTAGAATGATGATCACTTAGTTCGGTTCAGTGGCACAGTATCTAACTGTGAACACTTGAACAATATTGTACGATTGATTAAAAAACAGAATACACCTCGGATAATCAGATACTGTTCTATGTGTCATCTTATTCCAAAAGGTGATAGAACAACTGAATTCGCGTGCAAATCGGAACCTGTCTCTATGGACGAGATCTGAAATACACTTCTTTTAATATTACTAACGCTTTTACTTCCTGCTATTTATTTAGTATACAGATGTAAAGTCAACTATTAGGAAGGAGCTGAGGCCAAGCAAACGCTGTCTGGGGAATCGCAGGAATGGGAAAACTTGGTGGCGGTGGTGGGATTCGAAATCAAGACCGGAGGTTACCGGTTTTATGAATTTATCCACCGGTGCCCGAATATCGTAGTACCCGTTTTATACATGACGGTTTGAAGACATGCAGTGTCAGTTTTACTGTTTCTATGATAAGCATAAGCGTAACGCATACAGAAAACATAGACACTGACTGGTTGCGTTTGGGTGGAGAAGTGGCGCAAATCTGTTTTATGAAACTTCACTAATCGAGGCTCAGTTATAATTCCTTAGTGTTCAGTGAACAAGAACCAGCCGTGGAATTCGGAGTGATAAACCACATAGGACCATAATGGGTCGTAGGCGGACCGGTGAGTTCAAGCTTTAAAGAACACGCTGATTGCATAAAACCCGGTCAGTTCGTGAGTAATGAGAACTCGAATAAACTGAATCAAAGCTGTTTTTGTTAGGTTTTCCATATTGTGCACAAGAGCTCTGGCTTTCCACTGATTTCAACTTCGGATTGTCACGATCATGTGATAAGTTATATGCTTTTCTTCCTCACCTCGCCAATTATTTCTATATTTTGAGACTCTGTGCCGCCAATTTATTTCTCATTGTTCAGTAGTGTGATAGATTGTACGGAGAAATCCGGACAATATCTGACATTTGCCAGACAGCGCTTTTCCCCTACAATCTAACTATATATTCACATCGTTGTCCTAGTTCTAAAGCATGTTGACTTTTTCTACTCCGTTGGCTTTTACTGTATCCTTGCGTGCTTTTGTTCTGCTTAAACGTTTTTGCGCTGGTTGCTGTGTATCACCTTTATGCGTTAACGCAGATTTTCGTCAGTACATCCCCTGTGTCATGATAGTTTAATACACGTCTGTCACAACTACAAGTCTTCTGGTTTTATCGATCGTAGCTTGGTTGATCACGAGCTACGGGATCCGTTTAGAGGTTCGTTGTGACTGGTCGTAGTTGACATGCTTCAGCCCCATAATTGACAGATAGTGCAAGTTCAAAGATCCTGCTAGATAATCAATAAAATAATCTACTGGACATACCCTTGATCAAATATACATATGTACTTCATAATAAGTAGTATGTGAATGACTGGACAAAATTTTCCTGGAAGCACACGACCGGTTTTGCGGTTCTTGCAGCTCGTCAGGCATGCGTATCCGGTAATCTTTTGTCAG